TAAGTGTGAAAAAAACAGTCATAAGTCACTTTTTTTTCAGTGCCTTTGTCGTTTCAAACGGTCACTAAATGAACTGAGCAGTTTGTAAGCGACAATAATGATAATGATGATCATGATGATAATGATAATGATAATAATAATAATAATAATAATAATAATGCCAAATCCAGTCTGAACATCTAGCTGACTGTGGGATGATTAATAATAATAATAATAATAATAATAATAATAATAATAATAATAATAATAATAATAATAATAATGATGATGATGATGTTGGAAGGGACCTTGGAGGTCAGGCAGGAAACCCTATACCAGTGATGGCAAACCTTTTAGAGACCGAGTGCCCAAACTGCAACCCAAAACCCACTTATGTATCGTTGGGGGCTGGGTGGGCGTGGCCCATTGGGTGGGTGTGGCCATTTGGGTGGGCATGGCCCATTGGGTGGGCGTGGCTGCGGTGGTAACGGCAGACTGGGACTAAAAAGTTCAATCAATCAATTCCAACTTTATGAGATCTTTTTTTTCCCCGCGAGAAGTTGAAATTGCTTGATTGATTGATTGAACCTTTTTTTTTTTTGCACATGGCGGTGGAGGCCTAAAGCGAAAAGGTTTTATAAAACCCAGCTGAAGGCCTAGGATTGGGGCGACGGCACGCGTGCCCAATGAGAGGGCTCTACGTGCCACCTATGGCACGCGTGCCATAGGTTCGCCACCACAGCCCTATACCATTTCAGGCAAATGGCTGTCCAGTCTCTTTTTAAAAACTTCCAGTGTTGGAGCATTCACAACTCCTAGTGGCAAGTTGTTCCACTGGTTAATTGTTCCAACTGTCAAGAAGTTTCTCCTCAGTTCTAGGTTGCTTCTCGCCTTGATGAGTTCCCCCTCTTTTTCTTTTTCTTTTTTGTTCCTCGCGGCAGAGAATCTGCCACCAGCTGAATGTCCCTCATGTTACTTGATTTTAGGGATATAAACAAGGAGACCAAGTTGAAATTTGTTCACACCTCTGTGCACGGTGTGGGCCATGAGTTTGTGCAGTCAGCCTTCAAGGCTTTTGACTTCAGCCCTCCGATTGCTGTGCCCGAGCAGAAGGAGCCCGATCCGGAGTTTCCCACCGTCAAATACCCGAATCCAGAGGAAGGAAAAGGTGTCCTGGTTGGTAAAAAGATTATTTAGTACATTTTCTTCCGTCTTCGTTTGTCTCCTGTCCCTTCGGACCGTTCCTTTGCAACTAAAGCTTAGTTCTATCTCCATTTTTTAAAAAAATTCTTGCGTACGCTTGTCAATCTCAAAAAGGCGCTAGTCCATTTCTTTTGCTTCTTCCGGCTTCTAATTTTCCAGCAACTTTGCAGGCAACCAGTTCGCAGGAGTTTTCCAAACGTGACTCCTTCGTCTTTTTTTTTTTTTTTGCATGTTGGGCCGTTAAACGAGATCACGCTTCCGAAACGATTTGCGCTTTTTTTTTTTCTCGCAACTTTGGCTGTTATGGTTCCGGCTAATGAAACACTTCAAAGAACTTCCAGGCTTTGATTTTCCTAAAAGTAATTTATTGTTACAAAATGTCGGCACAGGCACAACGAAGTTGATGCTAAGGTCTAAAATTCTCTTCCTCTGAGCAATTAATTTACCAGCATGTTCCCTCCCTAAATTTGCTGTCATATATCATGTTCTCCTATCAGGTGGAAGGGCAGAGGTTCTCTTCCGGTCTCTTCCCACTCGCAGTCCTATCTTTCTCCTCCCCACCACCACCAACTGAATTAACTCTAAAAATACCAGACAGTTCTGCATATTTTGTCAAAGCAAGAATATACAGTATTTGCAGCATTGACATTGGCATTGCCATCCAGATTTTCAGATCTTTGCGGTAATCGTCGGGGATCGCTCGCCACAGGATGAGTTAAACACTAAGATCAAAGCCACGGTGGGACAGAATCACTAAAGAAAGGATGGGAAAGGAATGAAATGTGAATGGCAAACACTAAAGTGATTGTTAAGTTATTTTCAGTAATTAAATTGAATTGTGGAATTGTCCCGCGAAATGGCTGTGGCGAATTGTCCCAATTCTGACTGTCAGTGCCTGTTATGGTGGACGTAGAAAATGTGTTTGTTGGTTTCCTTATTAAGGTATAATTTGTGCCGTTTTCTCCATCCAGACCCTGTCTTTTGCTCTGGCTGACAAAGAAGGCGCTCGAATTATTTTAGCCAACGACCCGGATGCTGATCGGCTGGCCGTGGCAGAGAAACAAGAAAGGTTAGTTTGTGGATTACCAAACTTAATTTTCCTGTGTTTGGGAGGAACACCCCGGAGGTATTAAATAGATTTTATTTTTTTAAGAAAAGTATATTTTTTTCTTAACTATTCCAATACTCTTTTTGTTAGAGCCCACGTTCACTCCAATTGAATATAGGTATGGTAAATTGACGTGGTGAACAACGTATAAAAACAAATTGGCGGCAGATAAATCTAAGATTTAAATCGATAACTCTGATACCGGTAGTC